GGATCACCGGCTGCTTCTCCAGGCGCCCGTATGTCTCGGCAATGCTCTCCACTTCCACTTTGGGACACTTGAACAGCTCGTATGTCCCATCCCGGTTCTGGATGAAGCTGCGAGTGATTTCCAGTGGCATCTGCCAGCAGGCACAGGAGGGAGGCGGTAAGGAGACCGGGCCCCCTCGCCCGCCAGGAGCAGGGGGTGGTGGAGGCAGCTGGGGCCTGAGCCCTGGGCTGCGGCATGAGCTCTCCCAAAGGGGTGCTGGGGGGCTGCTTGTCAGCCTTACCTCGGGCGTATCAAAGATCTGCTTGACCTGCAGGATGTTGGTGATGTGCCAGGTATACTTGGAGAAGGTCCCCAGCGGAAGGGCGTCTTTGCGGACAAAAGCTGAGGAAAAAGAAAAGTGGGTTAGCGGCTGTGAGGCTGTTCCTGCCTGCCTCTGCCCAAGACTACCGGGAAGGTGGGTTGTGTTTGTGAAGGGGGTTGCTTTCTCTTCTCTTTTCCTACCTTCCCCTTTCTTTTTTCCTTAGCTCAGCTGCAGGCCTGAGCAAGAGCTCTCTCTCTGTGCAGCTCTTGCTGTTTGTCTCTTTCATAATATACGCCTGAGTGCCCCCCTCAATTCTTGGGGGAAAACCCCTCGCCAGGGCTCATTTAATAGCAGCTAATAAAGTAAATCCTTCCCTGCCTTCTTCCAAAGCTCTCTTGTCTCTGCTGGCTCTTCAGACCATGTTTCGCTGAGACTAGGGCACAAAGGGATGCAGGGCCAAGGGTGCTGAGGCCCAGCTGTAACACTCATGTACTGCCCTTAACCTCTGGGATAGCCTCTTGCGTATGCTAAAGCATAGCTTTACACCTCAAACACTCCTGGAGGCTTTAGTTGGAAGCACTGAGGAACACGTGCTAGGGTCAAGGGTGCTGGAGCCTGCTTACTTAATTCAGAGGAGCAGCGCTGTATCAGCTGGGGGCAGACAAAAGGGAAAACCAGAAACTTGAACTCGTCCATGTGCCCTAAACTCCTAAAACAAGCTCTTGTGCATGCTACAGCACCAAGCCCAACCCTGCGTGAGAAGCTAGGCTGAAGCAGTTAGCACCACCAGCAGGTACCAGGGGCTGCATATCGCACTTAATGCAGAAGTGCCCAGTCCTTGGGGCCACTTCAAGCAGCCGCTGCTCTCTTCTAGCACCGCTGTCATGAAGGCAGCGTATGGAACAACAGCGGGTTAGGCAGCTAGTTCCCCTTGTCTCTCTTATTGCCGGGTCTCTCCTGGAAGCATCCCACCCTGAGCAGCAGCCAGTGCTTGCTCTGCACAAGCTCAGTCCTATCCTACCTGTCGTGGAGTTGGGCAGCCTCTTCTTCGTGCTCCCCACGGAAATCCTCTGCTGTAGTGCGTCAAAGAAAGCCTGAGGGATGTGGAACACCAGCGGCTCCGGCTTGCCTAGGTGTTCAAAGACAAGAGGCTGAGCTTGCCAGCAGCCTAAGCGGCCGCCTCCCACTGCTTTTACCCTTGACCGCCCCATAACCCACCCTCTGTTTCAGGTAGCTCTAGTGCAGCAGCCCCCAGCAGGGCACAAGGCTGAGCTTATCACAGCTGCGGGACCAGATGTTCCTCCAGCCCCAACGCTAAACTTGGGAGCTGCTGCTGAAAGGGGCCCATCACGGACACTGTAAACGGCTTGGCGTGAGCAGAGAGGACTGCCGCTGCAGCTCTCTGCTGTTGCGACCAGCAGCAGGGGGAGGGCAGAGTACATGCACAACTCATGCTTAACAGCGTCACACAAAGAAAGCTGAAAGACATGTCTGGGAAGGGCTTAGAGGGCGTGGAAGGAGACAACCCCTTCGAGTGTGGTTTGTTTGGTTTTTTTTTTTTGTCCTTGTATTAAGGAGAGTCCAGCGGTACTACAGCACTAGCCCCACAGTCTCGCAGCTGCTGGTGCAAGTGCTATGCTCACATGTTACATCCCAGGAAAGGGGTTTTACAGACATGATAAAAGTGGCCTGGATGATGGTCTGGGGTACGCTGCCTGCTGCCAGTCACCTGCAGAAGTCACGTGCTGTCACTTGCCCTGCACGATGCTGAGGGGCGCAGCAGACTTGAACTCCCCCAGGTATTAGGCAGCACTGTGTGTAGCATCTCACCTTACTTCACCTTTTCTGCTCTGCTCCAGGCAGTTCCTTTGAGCATAAATAAGCTCTAAGGGAGTTTCTC